GACATGCTGGAAGAAAGAGAGATAAAAAACAGAGTTCTGAGTTCTTGGTTCTGAGAGCCAAGTTTCCTGGAGTGTTTGGTTCTTGCTTTCCCTCAGCTGTTCAGTTCTTCCTATAATTCTGTGAACTATTTCAACAAATCTCCTTTCTTGCTGTGTTAGTTCAAGTTGGAGCTCTTTCATTTTAACTAAGAGTATGGCAAGTATGGGCTTGTATATCTTACTCTTTCACCTATATCATACCATGGATTTCCAACTCTCCAAGTGAGACCCCTTTCTGATTTGTAGGGCCTGGAGAATATTTTCCCTTCTACATTAATTGAATTGCCTCGGTGGAAATTTCAAGAGGGACAGAGTTGAATGCTGTGCTAAGGTAACTATCTTGTATATATATATCCACCATCCTGGAACCATTTTTTAAACTTTTCCAACTATGTTCATTTTTTTCTCTCCCTACCTTTGTGGCTCACTTGTCATACTTTTTTTTTTTCTTTTTCTAAAATAGATTTTTTTCCCCAATGCTAAAATTGGGAGATAGTGAAAAAATTCAGCTTTTATAGTAAAAATGTAGTAGGATTTGATTCCAATAAATATTATTGTAGGGCATCACCACCATTTAAGTGTTATTTCAGAAAAAAACTTAAATGACTAGTGACTTTATCAGGTCCCTTGGTGGTGCAAATGGTTTGCACTTGCCTGTTAATCTAAAGGCTGATGGTTCGAACCCACTCAGTGGCACCACGGAAGAAAGGCCTGAAGATCTGCTGCCATAAAGATTACAGCTAAGACAACCCTATAGAGCAGTTCTACTCTGTAACTCATGTGGTCACCATGAGTCGGAATTGAGTAGATGGCAATGGGTTTGGCTTTTTGATTTAATGACATTATCAATTATATTTTGTATTAGACTAGTTGTAAGCACTATCCGAGGGTCTGGTGTAATCCGAGTGCACACTTAGCAACCTGGAATAAACTCCTGAGCCATCCTTGTACTTTGATGCAAGTCAGTAATTTACTCAATCTTCTCCACAGGTCCTTTGACTTCTGTCTCAGACTTGAAAAAATATTATATTATTTTACCAGCTGGGAATTTCGCCTTTGTACAAGTCGGTAAAGAAACACTATACTATGAAGTGACAAAATTTGGGCCACAATGTAAGCTACTGTCTTTGTTCTTCAGTAAAAACATTTTTTTCAAAAGCCTGTGAGAAAACAAAACTGTTGCTGTCAGGTGCCATGGAGTTGGTTCCTACTCATAGCAACCCTATGTACAACAGAATGAAACACTGCTGGTCCTGTGCCATCCTCATAATCATTGTTATGCGTGAGCCCATTGCTGCTGTCAATCCATCTCGTTGAGGTTGTTCCTCTTTTTCACTGGCCCTCTTCTTTACCAAGCTTGACGGCCTTCTCCAGGGACTCGTCCCTCCTGATAACGTGTCCAAAGTATATGAGAGGAAGTCTCGCCATCCTTGCTTCTAATGAGCATTCTGGCTGTACTTCTTTCAAGATAGATTTTTTCGTTCTTCTGGCAGTCCATGGTATATTTAATATCCTTCACCAATCACCCAAAATGATTGAACATCAACCAATTCTTTTTGGTACAGTGACTTTGTGTATTCCTTCTATCTTCTTTTGATGCTTCCTGTGTCGTTTAATATTTTCCCTATAGAATCCTTCAATATTGCAACTCAAGGCTTGAATTTTTTCTTCAGTTCTATCAGCTTGAGAAATGCCAAGCGTGTTCTTCCATTTTGGTTCTCTATCTCCAGGTATTTGCACATTTCATTATAATACTTTACATGAGAAAATAAAATTAGGATGTCTGATCTTTTATGACAATAGACTTGAGCAATTCTTTATGTGAAGTAGAACTTTGTACATCAAGTGTTCTTACAATTGGTCATTGCTTGTTCTTTTAATTTAGTGTATAATACACGCAGCTATTAAAATTGTAGCAAAGTTTAACCAGGTGTTAGCCTTACTGCCCTTATCTACACTTTGCTTTTTGGTCCTTTTCTAACAATCATATCCAGACACTTTTGTCTTTCCTATAAACACCCTCCTAACCAAAAGAATCTTTGAAATTGCTTTCTGCTCTAGCTAGTGCTTTGCTGTTAAGTCTAAAACAAAACTGATGTGTATCCATACTAAATCTATGAGAGGTTTGCTCTAAAACACTGTAAAAGTTACGTTAGGTGGGAGAAGGCAGACAGCCTGGGTTTCTCTGGCTCTAAAACAAAACTGATGTGTGCCCATACCAAATCTATGAGAAGTTTGCCCTAAAACACTGTAAAACTTACCTTAGGTGGGGGAAGGCAGATAGCCTGGGCTTCTCTGGCTTACCTGCCCCCTTACATCTCTGACAATGTTCCCCAAACCCTTCGCATCAGTGCTTGCATTCACCTCCAAATTTTACATGAGCCCCTTTTCTTATTTAGAAACCTCTTTCTTACTTAGAACTGTCATTCCAAGCCCATTTTAATTTTTTCTGAACTCTATAATTCCGTCTCTTTGAGAAGACCTTCCCTAATTAACCTCATCTGGTTCTGATCACTCTTCTACTTTGCAGCCTCTCAATACTTTCCAACATGTTGCCCCACTGGATGCATCACTTGGTGTTTCACTTGTTCTTCTCTGTGCATGTGGCCCAACTCCCAGTGGACTACAAACTCTTTGATGCAGCTGCCAGTCCTTTGACGGTAATAATGAAAATAATAAGCTAGCATGGAAGGCTTATTATGCTCCTCACACAATGTTAAGTGGGTTACTGGCAAAGTATTTAGAACACAGCTTGGTACATAGTAAGCCATTCATAAATGTTTGTCATTGTTAGTATTTATAGCCCAACAAAGTTGATATCATTATTATCCCCATTTCACAGATAAGGAAACTGTGAGGCACAGAGAGATTACTTAACTTGCCCAGGGTCACACAGCTCATTAAGTGGCAGAAACAAAACTTGATCCCAGTCTGACACCAATATCCATCCATGTTCTTAACCACTGGCTACACACACACACACACACACACACACACACACACACACGCACGCACACACGCACGCACACACACACGCACACACACTAATCAATCTTGTTTGCAATAATGTCCCTGCAGTTTTCAGAGCACTGTAAGTTGTACTCAAGGCAGGTTTTACTTTGGAATTCTTTCCTCTTCTAAAATTCAACTGTCTCATAGATATAAGGAAAAAAGGCACAAGGACTTATATCTCCCCAGAGAGTTTTATTTTGAAATTTAGAGGACACTGAAATACTGTCCTCAGGGATCACAATGGGTTTTTTAAAACTTCGAAGTTGCTCAGGAACTGAGTTTTTGTTTTTGTTTCTAAACTATTAATATGCTAGCTCAGACAGCCTTTTTAGTTGTCTTTTCTTCAGGAGTTCTCAGCCACCAGTACCTCATATTTGCTCTGGTGAAGAAGAACTAGACTATATCAAGGGGTGAGTAATATTAGAAGTCCATTGACATATTTATAATATAAATGATTGATTTTCAGAGACTCAGCCCTGATCATGTAAAGCACCTTACATCTGAAAGTTATTTTGAGTACCTTGGCATTTGTTGCTCACAATTGTCCGGTAATGTGATAGATTTCCCCCAGTCATGTTGCTGTATTAGAGAGTCAGAAATGCCCACTTTGTTGCTGTTGTCTCGCCAGAACTCTAAAGAGGCCCTTCTCTTCCCTCTGATATCCCTCCTTCTTCTTCTTCCTCTCCTACCCCGCCCCTTCCCTCCTTCTTTCTTAATTGTCTGTGTCTGCTTGAAGGGAACCAAGGCTCTCCGGACCCGAGGCCTGGGGTCTTGAAAGGCTCCCGGGGACCCCAAGGAGAAGAGTCAGGTGACAGGCTCTCTTTTCAAGCAGCCCGGGGCCAAAACCCTTCTCACTTAGGCAGCTGCACGATACCCAGACCCCATCCCTCAAAGCTGCAAAGCTCTGGACTCCGCCCACCCCTCGGGCCAGAAGCCGGCACAATTGCCTCTCTCCGGATTTCCACTGGGGTGAACGAATGGGCTGGAAAGCGATTACAGATGCAGGAGGCACGTCGAGAAAAACGTGTCATTTGGAAGAAAGTCTGATTCCTCCTGGGACTGCATTTGGCAGCTGCAGCCACTTTTGGTTGCTAGAAAGTCTCTGCCCTCCCCACCTGCGGAAGCGAGGCGGTTCGTGTGTGCACTCGGCCGGGGAGGACGCGCTAGCGGCGAGACTCGAACCCCGGAATTTAGTGGCGCCCCACGGAGTCCCGTCTGTGGCAGAACCAGCTGGCCCAGGTTAGAGCGGAGGAAGCTGGTGTGCACAGCTGTCTTTGGTTGGGCTAAGGCCTCCCCTCCCTGCTCTCTCCTCTCTCTCCCGCCTCCCGCCCCAGAAATTATCTCAAGCGTTCCCAGTTTGATTCCAGAACCCCACTCGGGTAGGTTCTTTTGTTTCTTTGTTTTAATGACAGTTCCCAGTCCTTTTGCATGTCATGTGCGATTAATACCCTGGCTCCCTTGAAGGCAGCTGGGGTGAAATTTCTTCTGCATCATCCTTTTGGGGATCATTGTTTATGATGTGACGTCAGCCGGATTGATTTTTCTCTCTTGAATGGGAGAAAGAGAGAGAGAGAATGTGTGCAGAGGGTACAGGCACTGACATTTGGAATTCCTTTAGGGCAAAAGATGGGAATGGGAGCTTAAGAGTGCTGCCTGGACTTTATGCGGCATGGATTTATTAAGAAGTTTTTCTTTAAAAAAAAAAAAAATCCCCTTCGCAGCGAGCCACTTAGGTGCTCCTTTCATGCCCAAACCCCCTTTTAAGGTGGCAGCGCCTGATAATTAATCTCGGGCACCCAGCCTCTGCAATAGGCTTAGGAAGGCGGCGAGGAGGGGCGGGGGAAGTGCGTCACCAGGTGGGGAAGGGGCTGTGTATTTGGTGACAAGCGGGAGGGAATGGGGGTGGAAGGGAATGGGGACGGGAAATAGGTTCTTTGGGCTCTCCGGGGGTATTGTGTCAGGAGATGCAGCCTGGCTACCATGTGACGCGGTCCAGAGTTGAAGGGATTGGCCAAGGCAGCGCAGGCGGTGCAGCTCGGCCGGCTTGCTCTTCCTCTGCCTTTCTCTCTCAGCATCTTCCTGGGAGCCTGTAAGTGAAGCAGCACCAGCAGCATCCATGGCCTGTCTTTGGGGTTAACACTTGTCTCCTTTGGCTTTGGCAGCTGGCAGAGCAGACCTCGGAAGCACCGCTGTGAGGACTTAACTGGGAACTGGAATCATATCCTCTTGTGTTTTTTCAGACTCCTTGGAAATTAAGGAATGCAATTCTGCCACCATGATGGAAGGTAGGATGCTTTCTGCTGTGCTTGACTGGCTTCAGGCAAGGTTTGGGCAGAGCAGCGCTGAAGAATGTGTGCAGCTTGTGTGTGGTTGGTCTAGAACCTGGTTGCCTGGATTTTGCAAGCAGAAATGCTGCAGTTTGCTTGCAGCAGCCCACGGCTCAAACTAATGGAATCATACCACAGAGCTTTTGCTTAGCTCAGAATCTACAGAGCTCCCTGCTCCTTTGAAAGAGAAAAGCTTAAAGTGTTTGCGGGGAGCTGAGATAGAGCTAGGAAAGAGCTTGCAGAGCAGATAAGTTGGGAGAGAAGATAAGGTTTTCTGTGCTGGGTTCCTGGGACTATACTGATTAAACATTTACAATGGAAACTTGGTTTCTGAAATTGACATTAGACAGGAGAGGTCATTGACAGAGTTATCCGTACTGTCATTTTCAGTGATCTGTTTAAAAATGTTTAAGAGTCGTGTAAGATATTTTTATCTCTGCAATTTACATCTTATTGTTGGGGGGAGGGCACAGAAAATTTGGTCCATAAGCTATAGTTTTATGAGGATGTCATCACAACAGAATGAGCAATATAAGGAAAATATCCAGGCCTCTTGGCCCCTGATTCCGGGTCTTATCAGGTTAGAAACGAATTTTGTGCTTCCTAAATGCTTTCCTCATGCAATGGTCCCTAGCCAAGCATTAAATGATTACTTGCTGATTACCTTTTTGCATTCAATTTGAAGTGTAAAGAGGAACTTTTCCTGGGGATGAGCTTTTTAAACTATATTTTATTCTACTTAAATACCTTTCCAAGCTTGACATAGTGACAGGCAAGATTGCCTCAAAAAAAAGCAGCAAGCTGATCAGGAAAGAAGCAAGCAGCTCTATACTGGCTTTGATTTTCTGTTTTCACACTACAGGATGGTGTAAAACTCCTAGCCTTTCCTAAGATGACAGGCAGAAATTTGTCCCCAGACTGGATTTCACAATGCAGAATCGAAAGCATAATGGGTCTCAGATCAGCCATGAAAATGGCAGAGAAGCCACCTCTTAAGCCAAGATCTATCCTACAGATTTTAAACATTCCTTAGAAATTTACCAAAATGGAATAAGAGGAGAATGGTTTAAAAAAAAAAAACAATGTAGCCTGTACCTGGCAGAAATGAATTCTTTTTGCTCTCTCTGTTATCATGTCAAACATTGTTAATGTGATTTGGGATGTGAATAATTCTAGAGTCATGGCCCACAGATTTTAGAAAATAGCTTTAAAAGAGAGATGGGGCATCATTTCGCTATGGGGCCTGGTCTTGTTTGCAAAGGGCTCTGAACCTAGTTCTTTAAATATAAGCCTAAATAAATTGAGGTTACTAATGCTCTGAGATTAAACCATTTTCATTAATTCAAAGTGGATTTAATATTTGAATAACAAGGCAAGACAAACAAAAAGAGTATTACTGATGTACTTTTCAATTAAAAGCTCATGTGAATTACCCTCCTCAGAAAAAAAATCTTGTCTAGAAGTATTATATTTCTCTAGCTACCTTTCATGTAGCATTTCTGTAAAATGTACCTCCACACATTCTGATTAGCTTTTAATCTTGCATGGGCAAGTGGAAGATCTTGCATTTGGCTTCTTGCCTTGCAAACTATGGAACTAAAGTGTCGTCTTTGAAACTACTGACATTTATTGATGCTTATTAGTAATTTTCCTGGTAATATGGTCTATTGTGCCATCCCAAAATCTAGTGCAAAGCCCTGAGATAACCTTATCTGAGCTGCCTAAACTGAAATGAGAACTGTAACAAAGACTTGTGTGGGAGCTGAATTGGCACTATTGCTCTGGGTTGGCCAGATTTATCTAACGAAGGATGTTACCTCAGCATTGGTATGAATTAGAGGTGACACTATGGAGACAGTTGTCTTCCATCACATCCTTGCAAAAGAAATTGGACAGGTTTTCTTTTGGCTTAAAAATATAAATGAAACTAATATATATGTATATTTTTATCTACTCGTTGCTATTTAAATGCTTTTCAGGACTTAAGTATCTTAATGGCTCAGTAACCTTAAAAAGGCAGGTGGGAACCTTACCCAGAAATTAGTTTGCCTACCAGTGGCCTTCCAACTTAGTTGCCATTCTTTCTGGCAATAGGTGTTCATGTTTCTGATACTGGATCCACGAGTTGCACCTCTGAATTGCTCTTAATCTGAAGATGTGGTATGAGAATAGTTATTATTTCTGTTTAGCTCATCTGCAGAGGAAACCAAGCCGTTACATCTATTATGATAACCTTGGAAAGTAAGGAATTCCCTAAAAGGCACCCCCAAATCCTATCATTGCAACTGTCTGCTGAAACATCAGTGGACTCTGAGAATGTGTGACCACACATCTAGATAAAATGAAGTCTGTAAAAACTAGTACGTGTCACACACACACATGCACACCCTCACACATGTACAGTCACCCACACATATACATATTTCTAAAGCAGGAGAGAAGTACATTTGCATACGTGTGCGTGTATGAATTTCTATACTTCTAAAGTGTTGTAATTTGCTGCTCAGGATAAGCATGGCCATGGCAACTTTTCAAAGCTACTTATCTACTTTGGGTAAAGCAATAGTAAACAAATTTTCAGCAGAATGGCGTATAGTTTAGTTTTATGCTCTTGTTTTTATGGAACAGGGATATAGGCTCCATTCATTCAATGCCTAGTGGAAATCCTGGCCATAGATGAGGACTGTTGTTACCTCTCCAGTTATTCTAATATCAAGGAAGGCAATAAAATAATTCTTCAGGGACCTCGATCGGGTTACCAGTAGTTTGTGCCTCCATGATTCACCAAATATTTTTATTTAAAAAAAAATATATTTTAAGGGACTTGATTCCTTGATTCTTGCATTCCTTATTTTTTGGTCGGTTTGAGTGGTTTCTTTCCTGAAAAATGTCACATGATAGGGAGCTTTATGTATTATGAGTGTGAAGGGAAAGATGATGAACAAAGGGAATTATTTGCAAAGGGGTATGTGTATTGGCTAAGTTTACAATGCAGTCTGTGTGGTTAGGGCAACTATTCTTTTTTCCCATATTATTATTACAGTTTGAAAATGGCATTATAGCTACAGCTTCTAAGATGGGTGAAATTAAGTCAGAGTTTCTTAGGACATCTGTTTTATTTGTGAGGCTGACTTGGAAGTACTTTCCCTTGTCCATGCAGAACTGGACTGAAGGTACTTTGTGCTTCTAGTTTCATATTCAGGCTCTTAGGTGGTATACTGGAAAGATAAGTTTCTGGGTGCCAATGGTTTTACCCTATATAATGATTTTTAACCATTAACAAGTATATTTTTAAGGGCTTATTGTGTTTAATTGCAATGTTCAAGGTGATTTCATACGTTTTATTGTATTTACTACTCACAACCACCTGCAAATAAGTGTATTCTGCATAATGTAATTTTGCAAGTCTTTTTCTAAATTGTAAAAATAAAAAATAATATATTGGTGGGAGAGATGGTGGAAGAGAATTTCAACTCAAGTTCATATGACAACAAAGCATATTTTTAACCCCTCATAATCTGGCAATCTGCTTCCATAAGGATTACAGTTTTGGAAGACCCTATGGGGCAGTTCTACTGGGCCCTGTAAGGTCACTATGAGTTGGAATTGACTGGACCTCACACAACAAACATTTTAAATAGTAACTTTTTTTTTTTTTTACTTTGTATTAGGGTGAGACATGTTAACCTAATTGAAAAATAGTCTTTAGTTTCTTAGGTTGCATAGTCTGTTTCTCTCTTAAATATGAGTACTCACAGAACCGTACACTTTAATTCTTTTTTAACGCCTTTTATCTCGATAATCATTAAATAGATCACTTTGAACAATTCTGGATCAACTAACCTTTCTTGCAGTGAAACTTATAAACAGCAAAGGGCTTTTTTTCCCCTATCTGAAATGGAGTTTTATAATATTTAGAAAATGCTTTGATGTGATCAAATAGGGAAAAGCATCTCGAAACTCGAGCCGTTCATTTTATATTAGCTAAGAAGTTTTAAAGGAAATGCTCCTAATTCTCCTACCAATTCCCTTCCCAGGAATGGTGAAGTTATTTTGTGAAATCTAAGCCTGCATTTGAGATTCTAATATATGATCTATCACTTATGTAATTTCTCATCTTTCTCTAGGCTCTGTGTAAGAAAGGGCATCCTTAGACATGTAAGTTTCCATCCAGTTCCACGAGTCAATTTCAAATCTCCAAAAAGAATATACATATAGTCTTAAAAAAATAGCTTATATAACCCATGCTGTAGGAATCTGGATGATCCTCTCTGTTGGGTTTGGCATATACACTATCCATGTTTCATATAAACAAGTTACAGGAAGTCACCAACTCACAACTTTTATGTTCCTGAAAGTTTGTAAGTTGGTTACTTGGAACATGTTTTCCCATAGGAATACTGATATAAATGATGATTAGATTCTCATACTATGAAATCAAAGACCATTAATGTGCTATCTAGCTAAAATAAATAATTGCCATGAAATGAGCAAAGAACAGTACTGTTGCCATAGTAAAGTGATGGCATTAAATATATTTTTAACTTCAAATGATGGTGTTTGAGGAAAAGAAGGTTTAATTAGAGGTGAAGACAAAATCAGAAGGGGATTTTTAGGTATTTCCAAAGTTTTAGAGACTTATGACATGGCATTTTGCGATTATGTTTAGTTTTCTTTCTATATTTGTGGCTTTACTTTCTCTCAGTTAAGTTCTATCATATGCACTGCTGTTAAATTGTGATTAAAGTCATTATGTAAACTCACAAGTGGAATTAAGAGAGGGAGAGAGAATTTACTGAGATGACTGTGAAGGAGTTGGAAGAGAGAAAAAGAATAAGGGGTTCTAATGGATTTGAGGTCATGTATCTGAAAAAGTCCCTGAGGAGAAATTAACGGAATAAGGAAGAGGGCATAGACAGAGAGGAACTGGAGAGCATGGTAAGCACAGGGTGCCCCTG